GTAACACACAGTAGCAATCACACACTGACAGATCAGAGCAGGGTAACACACAGTAGCAATCACACACTGATGGATCAGAGCAGGGTAACACACAGTAGCAATCACACACTGACGGATCAGAGCAGGGTAACACACAACAGCAATAACACACTGACAGATCAGAGCAGTGTAACACACAGTACTGATCACACACTGACAGATCAGGGCAGGGTAACACACAGTATCAATCACACACTGACAGCTCAGAGTAGTGTAACACAGTATCAATCACACACTGACAGATCAGAGCATTTTAACACAGTATCAATCACACACTGACAGCTCAGGGCAGGGTAACAGTATCAATCAGTGATCTTGTATATTATATTACCTGTTTCTGTCCTGCTTCTGTCCTGGTTATTGTTGTAAAAGGTGGCTCTACAAAATATTAAAATGTGTTATACAAACAGATTTCAGTTTTTTTTATTTTTCTTAAGAATATTTCCTAACATAAAACAGTGTCAAATTAAAATAATTAATTTTGCGTTTCAGTGCTTAGAAATATAAATATCACAGAGAACTCAATTTCAATGTAGGATTTGTAATTCAGAAAAATGCGAGAATTGGTCAAGGGTATTTATTTAGAAATACATTCAAACTTGTACATTCTTCATTCCTAGGCAGTATTTTCAATAACCCCTTGGAATATCAAGGCCTGTCATCCTTTCTAACTTTTTTTTTAAACTTTTTTTTCTACCTTCACAGTTACATCAGTGAATTTTAGCCTGAAGTTGTTTTGGTCATTACTCACGGCAGCACTGTATTAGAAAAAAAAAACATTTCATTTCTACTTACATCTGCGACAAATCAGTCCAGGCTTTAGTCATGTGTATAACCATTATGAAAAAGGTTTTTTAAATGTTTTCAAGCATTCTCCTCAAAATATGTTTTTTGTCAGATTACTTTATGTACTTTATTACGACTTTATAACACAACTAAAACACCTGAAGAAAACTTCACGGCCGAAACGTTGTGTGTTTTCTTTCTTCTCTTTTCAGCAGGGAATAAACCTATGACTTCTTCCAAAGCATTTCATTGCTGACAACACCACTGTATGTCGCACTGTTCGTGCATTGATCAATAAATAAACCCTGATTGATTGATTTCAATTAGAGCACGTCAATAAATATCGCAGTGGATGAATACAACCTTACTGTCACGACCACCAGCCAGCGGAGATCAACACGTAAGCGAGCCAATCAGCACCAGCAGCGGATTACTACTAACAAGCGCCGCCGCACGAGTTAACACACCTGCAATTGCTCTACCGTGCGGCACGC